GGAAGGGACATAATCAAAGGAGTTACAGTGCTCACTATGTCAATCAGTAACTTGTTATTATCCATATGAACCTACTTCATGGGGTCTCCAATCACATAGGTTGGGTTACCATTCACTCTTGACCCATTGTAATAGGCACAAGTCCTATTCCCTTCGATGTATAATACACTAGTTTCTTACCTAGTGGCTTGGTCAAATGATCTGCCAAGTTCATCTCTGACCTCACATATTCAAGGGATATTACCCATCATTAAATAATTGTCTCAAAATGTTCTGTCTTAGACATTGTGTTTGTTCTTTCCATTGTGTATGTTATTCTTTGCACGGCTATAGCACCCTCGCAATCACAAAGCATAGATACAGACGGAGCTGGTCTCATCCATAAAGAGATATCTTCTAAGAGGTTTCTAAGCCATTCAGCCTCATTGCCTGCCATCTCCAAGGCAACAAAGTCGGACTCTATAGTGGATCGAGCTATAGTAGTCTGTTTTGCCAACTTTCATGATATTGCACCCCCACGAAGGGTGAACACATAACCACTAGCGGATTTTATGTCATCTGAATCACTGATCCAGTTAGCATCGTTATACCCTTCTAGTATAGCTAGAAATCCACTATGTAAAATACCATAGTCCATGGTACCTCTCAAATATCTCAACAATCTCATCAAAGCAGTCCAATGATCTTGGTTAGGACTATGTGTATATCTACCAAGTCCATGGTAACTGTTGAAAGTTATAAGAGGAGGGCAACCTGAAAAAGTGAACAATCTTAGAAGATGAGATATACCATAGGAGATGAGTAGCTAAATATAGAGGTTAGGAACTATGAATAGTGACTAATATTTTTTTAGTTCAATTGTTAACAAATAAATCACTCCTTTTGACTTTCTAATTTATTTATTTTTCTCATCTTTCGGCTTGGAATAGAACAATAGTGTCTTGAAAAACTGTACGATGGATGGTGTTGAAGCCTAAGGAACAACAATGATATCATAGTAACAAGTTAACAATTGTGGCGGTAAATAGCACAAGCTTCATATTATAGCAATGTTCTTTTTTTCAACTTCTATTAGATAAGAGAAGGGGGACTAAAACTTGCCTTCTTTTGGAGTGTCATCTTATGCACAAACTTGGATATCATTTAACAATTTTTGTAATGGTGGTTGTTCAATGTAACTTTGGATGCTTTTCTATTTAGTCATTTGATACTCTTGTAATCAATGCTCGGACGCTAAGCTCGTAGCTGAGAAGCTATAACAAAACTTGTTCATTGGCTGAGTTATCTGTTTTTTATTTTGGGGATCACTATTGCTTAATATTTTTGATTCAAAGTTCTTACAAGGATGCATATATATGCACATCTTCCACGTATTTCAACTCAGTAATCAACCTTGGTTATTTGATTGTTTCATCATCTCGAATTTGTCTTATCCCAGTAAGTTTTTCAAAGATAAGAGCTTCTTCAAGCCTAGCTTGGAAAGCAAATTTTCCACCGTGCCTATGCATGTTGGCATGTGAGATAGCGATTGATAGAGAGGTAGAGAGAGGGACGTGGAGGAAATATCATAAAAATGGTTGTTTGAAACAATCAACATCATCACCTTTGATCTGAATATTTTGAAAGTTTTCATACACATAAAGGGTGGCTGCACAAGTAGCAAATGGACACAATTGTATCCCTGCCTGTAGAGAGAGGTGGCTTCTACGACTCGTAATGTTGGGCTGTTGTGGAGTCTAGTTTGCATGTGGTGATCCGGATGATGACTCGACCCGAAGTAATGTTGCGTGATTTTTTTAATAGGAAATTTTTTTGAGGTTTGGTCTATGGAGCGAAGGCTTGGGCCGATAGGACATATAAAATACTGCTACTTTGGTGATTAGAGTTTGATTGAAGTATAGCCGCTCTCTGCAATCCTCTCTCTCAATAGTAATAATCCTGCAGCTTCTTGAACGTAGGCAAATTGCCGAACCACGTAAAAATCTTTATGTCTTGTTCTTTCTTGTTTCTTATTGCTTTATATTCTTGGTTTGTTTTTCGATTGTGTGTGTTTGTTTGTGGGTTTAAAGCGTATTAAATCCCAACACGTAACTCTTGACGCCTATGTCACAATAAAGCAAACATACCACCACCATAAGATCCACTCACAAGATNACGTAACTCTTGACGCCTATGTCACAATAAAGCAAACATACCACCACCATAAGATCCACTCACAAGATTCTTATTTGATTGGATATAATGGTAGGGGCCGTACATCTTACACAATATACTTATATTCTTTGTGTGCGAGTTCGAGTTTTTGCTAACACCCTTCAAATTGTGTCTCTACTCAATTTGCTGTCTACTTCACTAATGGACCAGCTTTCTCCACTGAAACTCATTTTGGAGGATTAGGTTTAGAATTTATGAAATTCATGGAATGTGCATTTTTTCTGAAATGCCAAGAGTCAAAGTTGTAGTCTCCTTATATATGTAGAGTTACATGACCATTTTCTGAAGTATGACTGTAAAGTATATGCATGTGTGAAGAAGATGCTTTATTTATTAATGATGAATCTTTAACATAAACCTTATCCATAGTCAGTTTCTTTTGTCATTGTGGTATTTAATTGGATGGCTCTGAAGGGATGTCTGAAAATATTATATTTGACTCAAATTCTTGTTTGGCGTCAGTGTAATATTCTGTGAAGCTGTCGCTATATATGGCGTTATTGTGGCAATTATTCTCCAAACAAAGTTGGAGAGTGTTACAGCATCAAACATATATGCAGCCGAGTCTCTTAGAGCTGGATATGCAATCTTTGCTTCCGGAATTATTGTGGGCTTTGCAAATCTTGTCTGCGGGTTTGTCCAAACTTAGATTTTTAAGCCCAATATTCATTTCTTTCTTTTTCTGCTTATGGAAGTCCATTAAATACGTAACTGTTTTTTCTTGATCTTCTTGTTGACAGGTTGTGTGTAGGAATTATTGGAAGCAGCTGTGCATTGTCTGATGCCCAAAATTCTTCACTTTTTGTGAAGATCCTTGTTATTGAGATTTTTGGCAGTGCACTGGGGCTTTTTGGAGTAATTGTGGGAATAATCATGTCAGCCCAAGCAACATGGCCTTCTAACAATTGATTTTATTCTCTCATCAGTTCATGGAGCTTTCCATGTATTACACAAGGCAACATATTGTGTATGCTGAATGAGTTCCATATCGCGTTCTCTAGTTGGTTCAGTCCTGGTCTATGTAATTCTTCTATTTGAGTTGTGTTAGTAAACAAGATCAATTTCATAAATGCATCTTGATTAAACTCGGCATTTATAAAGGTGTTTTTTTTTTCCCCCGGAAAACCCTTATTGGAAGAATTGCTATTGGACCTAAGGTTTCAGTATAATTGCATGAAAATCCATACTAAGAGCTTGCATTGGATTGACATTTGGAGACTGAATCTGGACTACTTAAAACCACAAACTCAACAACTCAGGATGCTCAGCAGGAAAAATAAATCCTTCCAAATTTATTCGTAATACATGAATCTAGAGAGACAAGTAAGAGGTATTATTAACTATACATCCAAGGTAAGAAAAGAAGTACTTGTACATTTTTCCAAAGCACTAGCTTTTTTGCATCTGCTCTGCAGTCCAAAATGAAGCATGGTGTTAGCTCAACAGCAAAAGCATATGGCCAAATGGGGCATGTTTTTCTGCTCAAGCTAAAAAAAAGGGGTGATTTGGAACGTTTAGGGCCTTGTTTGATCCGGCCCTGTTGCCTCGAATGCAGCCCTTGCTTGCTTCGGCAGCTAGATAGACTGATATTTTCTGAGAGCTGCATTCAAATTTTCCGCTCCCCTCTTCTCAAGACATTTTCCTGTTACTGCTGTTTCCAGTGTTGACATGT